TCAAGCCACACCACACGTTAACTTTAGGGCTGTTGCGTTCATACTCTACGTGGGCATGAAAATTTTCAGCAGCCCACATTCGGATGTTATAGCGATGAATATGTCCATTAACAGGGAATGTCGCCTCATCGCTAAACATAATCTTCTGCAGAAATCTGTTATCATTGTCGACCTCGTGAAGCATATCTGTAGCAAACGCAAATTGTTTGGGTCTATCCGTTGGTTTGATAGCATGGAAAAGCTGCAATTTGTAAGAGTTTCATAGGTAACTCTTCCATATAGCCTTTACAGACTTGTCACTGATGATGGCCTGTCAAAATGGGGTTTGTCCAACAAACTGCCGGTATCCTTCAACTGCTTATCCCACCGTAATCGGTTAATTCGGGTTATTAAATTAGTGTTATTTCTACGTGGTGGCGGTTCGTTGTACACGCGAAGATATTCACTTTGCACTTTAGTTATGGATTCAAATTTGGCAAGCCACAGAACACACTTAACTTTCCTCTGTACGGTTCACATCTCGACTGGCGTGGGCGTAGATGGATTGATCTGCTCCTTCGCATGTCGCGGTGCTGCGTCATCACCTGTGTGCGCACATGATTGCACATAATACTACGGAAACTTGGAGAGCTTCCCTTTTGTTTGGTGAAGATTTTCACATTTCTATCTTGTTTTGTTGCTTTCTTGTGGCCGAACAAAAGTGCACCATGACTTTACGGACGCAGCGTATATTAAATCTCTCGCACTATAAAGAGTTCAAATTGTTTAAGGACCAAAACAAACAAGAATACTCTTCTGGTAGGCTTTTTTAATGAAGGTACAATCTGTTTACTTTGTTCAAGTAGTAGCCTGGTTTTATTCCTCTTAACAGAAGACATTGGCTTGAAGAAAAATTTATTGTTGTGACTTATCTCACTTGTCTAACAGTAACATCAGAAAAAGCCTACGAAATTCATCGTGGCAAGGACAGCTCCTGTCGTTGGCAAGAGCCTTGAGCACCGTGCAGGTGACAGTAAGACTTCTCTCAGTTCCCCCCTCCTCCAATTTTGAAGGTGATCTCCTCCGGGGAGAAAGGTCCAAGGGTCACTCACCCTTTCCCCCTACCACTAACCTCTTGAAATGACAACTTTCTGCTCACTGTATATTTAGAGTGTCCTCGTGCCACACAGACGCTGTACATTTACAAATACCCACGCTTTCTCCGGGATTCGAGCCCGGGCTCTTCGGTATCGCAGAAGGCTTCCCTAACAACTATACCGTCTGGGCAGCAGAAAAATTCTATAACAGGCAAGAGGAAATGGAAAGCTGCTAGTTTCAAATATTATCCTGGACTTTCAGTTTGACAGGATTAAAAGTAGGTCTAAGTGTCTTGGTATGAGTTTCCTCAATTTATTTAGTTTTGATAACACAATGCTTTCGCGAAATTTCTTATATGCGTAAATATTGAGAATTTGCTTTCAAAACATCACCAAGGCATCTTTTCTTGAGCCTAGAGTTATTTGCTGAAGTTGAATCACTCGCCTCAACAATACTTTAAATTTTCAAACATAGATATTAAAATACTACTAAAAGATTTAAATGATCCACTTTAAATTTTCAACAGTTGCGGAATTATTCCACATTTTTTTTAAATTTTAGAAATGACATTGTTTTTGTTTGTACAATGAGACAATTGATTTATGTCGGTTGATGCAGAGAATGAGTTGTTGAGGTAGAACGAAACGTTTCTAAAGTAAATACTTGGATCGTACAGCGGCTCTCACAACGAAATTATTACACTATACGAAGTGAAAACAAGGGAAATAGACACAAGGGGGCTTGAGCTATTCAGAATGCGTAGATGAAGCTGGCCGTATGCCGAACGGTACAAGTCAGCGCCCGTCCCTTTCGCCGTCGTCATTGAGAGAGTGGACAGCAATGATGGAAGGTTGGAAGGTAACTATCACGGTCAACGTTGGACATCGTCGTTCCAGTGGAAGAAGAGGATGCAGGGTAGTGAGATCCATCGTCGCATGGTATTCGTGTGCGGGAAGAAAAAAACCCTCAAGGCGTACCGTATCCCGTTGGTTGGCCAAGTTCAGCAGTGGTGTGGAGACAGCAGCCAAAGGTGTCAGCGTGGAACGACCAGCAACATCGCATGCAGCAGCAAATGTAGCAACCGTTTCGGTTTTTATCATGGCGAACAGGCTCATAACATTAAACAAGATTCAGGAAGAGACTGAGCTTGGGCGAGGAACATTGCAGGCGATTGTGCATGGTGATTTGGAGAAGGCAAATGTGTGGGCAAAGTGGGTGCACCTCGGATCTCGAACCAAGACCTTGGACTAGGCCTTGCTTGACAACATGAAGGACGCAGTCAAGGGCCAAATGTTGAATCTTCTGCTGAATTGCAAGCAATTGTTCATAGGTGGTGGACCAACACCCCCACAGACTTGTTTACCAAAGCCTTTGGGGACCTCCCAGGCAGATAGCAGAAGTGTATTGACATGGCCTGGGATTACTTCTGATGTACTATGAGTTTCTTGGTTAATAAATTGTATTCCGCTCTGTGGCAGCATTTGTGTCATTCATTTCTGTACGACGTAAATATTTTAATGTCTTACTTTAATACATTTTAAGCACACTGAATCAATACTTAATGCGATTAGCTATTTCTAGATGGAAAAGAAGCTATTATTTAATATCTTTTAAACGCATATGAAAGTATTCAGTATTCCGTAAGTGCTTTGAACTGCATACTTTCTTCTGTACTGTACAATCTTGTACTCTTAGTCAACTTCTGAGAAGCCGAGAACTGCCCCTAACATCTTACAAATCTTACCGAATCGGAATTTCAAATTAATAGTCGAAGCTTTCTTCCTCATTAGAAATGGTCGGTTTTAGTCATTTCTTTGTAACATGAATACAAGACCTTAGAAAATCTTCAACGGAAACATCCCTTTTCTTAGGTAGAAAGTGCTTTTATACTTTGCTATAGTTTCATCAGAAGTATCGCTATTTTCCATAAGTCCTATACTTGGAATTTCGTCATTTATACATGCAAAATCAACTGCCGTACTTTTTAAATTCTGAATCTTCATTAGAAATTACTTGCAAACCACTTCCTCTTAAGACAAATAAGACTTTATTTCGATATTTAATTTGTTGACTTAAGCGCATATTCGTTTCGAAGGGAATCTTCGGGTAAAATAAAATGCGTTATTCCAAGCCTAATCTTAGGAGTTTAGTTGCCTGAACTATTCGACTTACGCATATGTCGACAAAGGGTTCATTTACGTTTTATTATTCCTCCTGATCTGAATCTCAGCTAGATGTGATCGATGAATTTATCGTCGAGAAGAAGCAAGGATTGATTTTACAGTCGGCCTAAATCTTGAACACCTTATGGGTAACCGTACGTCTTTTCCCATCTCCGTCCTAGGTTTGATGGAGTGAACAGGCTTGGGGTTTTGTATCTTTGTTCTCTTATCGCTAACGTCTCAAAGGCTTTCGACTTAAGTGCTTCTATGAAGCAAACCCACTACACATTTACAAAATATGCACGTTTTCTCCGATATTACAACCCATACTTACAATGACTGCCGGCAGTACTAACCGTATAGATTAGAGCGGCATTGCTTCTTTAATTCGAGGCGTATGACATTTTTTTTTTCTGAAGTCTTGTTTCATTTGACTAGTCTATTTAATACGATTAGTCTTGCTAGAGATTCTATTATTCCAGTTCTCACATGTTTACATAAAAAACTGTTTACATCAATCTGAATTATTTTACTTGTACTATTTTCAGATTTAATGTGTGGAAAATATTGTCTTTTTACTTCATTAACATGCTAATTTACTACATGAATGATTAAATAATTTAAAGAAATAGCTTTTAAAATTTAATAGTGGCTTGTTTTCACGTTGGTATCGTTTCTAGTTGATATCTACAGCCTGAATCTACTCTAACTCAATTAAAGTGAACTCGGGTATATAACTGAGCTGCAATATTAACAGAAAATTTTGCTAAAAATAAAACATTTTATTTAGTAGTTAGCATAATTTATGTTGATACTAGATATCGAATGCATATATACCACTTCCCATGAGCAAAAATAAAATTACATGGGGAGAACTAGAGCAACTGAGGAAGAAAATGCCCATTTCGTCAATTTTAGGGCCTGTATCCATTTGGTCTAGAACAGTTTTATTAATATGAATTTATTTACCTTTCATGTGCTTTTCCTTATTACATTTAATTTTATGTTTTTGTTTCATTTTTATTAATATTTCTTTATTTTCACATAAAGACTGCAGATTCTCTCATATCACCAACCACATTTAATACTGTATGTAATGTATTATGAATTCCTATTGGCAAAATTTGTCAGCAATAATTACTAATCATTAAAGTCGTCAACCTTAGTACAAGATTTGTTAATGTTCAAGATTTTGGTGTTGACAAATTCAAATTATCTGAATATTCCTATGTTTTTTACTAGTCTTACTCTTACTTGAGCTGATTCTTAATTCTTTGTTAGATCTGCTAATCATTGGTCCTAACCAACATTATAGTATATCAAGTAGTTAAGTATATTATGATTAAAACTGAAACGTTTTCTTCGCCGATTGATAAAGATACTTAAAGATGAGTATTTGGTATGCAGATGTACAATATTAGTCCTTGTACACCACTAGTTCTGAAATTACACATAAATCTATCCGTAATGGCTCTGTTGTAAAAGATGGCTAGTATGGTATATTTATAAAGGTTGATTCTTTTCTAGTCTTATAACTAAGGTTTGGCTAATTTTCATTGGATAAGATATTATTCTTAACCTTTTCAGACATGTTTCAAATTTTGAAATCTATTGAATTTTTAATTACACACTAATTTTTCTATTGATATCTTTTTCCTCTGGAAAAATGGTAAACAATATACTGTAGAGGACATTTATAATTTTAATTTTCGTTATTAAAAAAACTAAACATCAACTAACATGCAAGGTAACTTCTTACAGCTATTAATCAGTATCCTGTCCAGTCCTATCAACAACCTCAGAGCTATGCTGTTCCACAAACCTACCAAACAGCGAGGAGGTCCGATACGTGCAGCCACCAGCCAGGGGCAACTTGCATGTTTGTCTTGTTGTGCCTCATGGGAGGGGGCGTGTCAGCCGGATCCTGCTCTGAAGGCCTCCTTTCTACCTGCTGCATACGACCCGCCCAGATGATGCCTGCTCCGAAACCCGTTCGACGATGGCCCCCACCCGTTGTGTCCCAAGTGCAGAGCGCTCAGAACTTTCAGGGGAAGGAAACAGTAGTGACAGAACTGCCTGTCATCAAGACTACGAAATCGCCAAGCAATATTACCTGTAAGTAGACTTAACAACTTTTAACTAGTATGGTAAATTTGCCTAACTGGTATCGTCGGATCATAAAATAGCTTTTCGCAAGCGCTTTTAGAAGTATTTATTAGATGTGATTAATAATTATGGGAGAAAAAATGCTGTAACTCCAATGAAGATGGAAAACTAAAAGTACAGTGAACTTTCTAGGGGTGAATATCTAAAGACAACGCGTGCTGAACATTACCTCTAAGATGAAAACCTGCGCAGAAGACCAGAATAGTCCAGAGCCACGTCTGATCACCTTGGAGAGTTCACTGCGATTGTGAAGTACATAAAGATCCTTTATGCAAAATGGATTGATCGGGTCCAGTTGAAGGTTAGGCTGTGAAGGTATCTACAGCCGTAATTACGAGAGCTGTGCCGAAAACTATGCAAATGTTTAATAATTTTTATTGAAGACTAGTCCAAACTCCAATTTTTATTGGCTTTTCCTTTATATTAAAGTACTACTTGGTATTGTCTACTTGGTATTGCAAATAATGCATTTTCGAATTCTCTTTGGTAATATTCGAATGTGCACGTGATAGCCTACTGTTGCGGTGTGATCTTCATTGCTGGGTTTCCCCTTTAAATATAATCAATCTGTGCACATTACTCTTGTCAAAGGTAGTTTTCTTAAACATAGTACACCCTTCATGAATGTGGGACAAACCATATCCGTTTGTCAAATTCGATGATTGACACACAGTTTATACTTCGAAAGGACTATATATTTGAAATGAAAATAATACTCTCGTCTGCAACTCTGTAACATGTAAAGTTTGGGCAATATATCGGTTAATTTAAAAATTAACTATAGTTGCATTACTTTTGCTACGGTCATCGTATTATGGGCCTATCCAAAGCATGTGGGAATAAGCTGAAAGTTTTTACAAATGACTAATTGCATTGTTACCATTTGTCTGGTGCAGATAACCTTGACAGGTTTTGTGCCAAATTGCAATAATCCAATCCAAAGCATGTGGCAATGTAGAAATAACAGAAGTTGAATATGTGATGCTAACTGAAGACATTTTTTCACCTAATTAATTCTTCCTAATTTTAAATTATCACTATTGTCTCTTTTGTCATTGAAAATTATTACGTAGCCATTAAGAGAAAGCCACGCATAATTTGAGAGGTAATCATTAGATACCAAAAGTGTTGCCTTCACTGGCATTACACAATCTGTAATACATTTTGTAATTTCTTGTCCGTCAGTTTACAGAAGTCTAGAAAGAAATTTTGTATTTTGGACCATATTCTATTAAATGAATTTACAAGCACGTACCCTGCACTTACACAATTGGTGAAATGATGAACCGTTAGTACTAAAGACTGACATAGCCAATATTTAACATTCGTCTCATCTACTTTTATTTAAAACTACTAAAATTTCCTTTCCATTTTTGCTTAAAATTACTAAAATTTAATTTCCATTTTTGATTCCAAGTGTATCAGAGCTTAAATAGGCGTTTTATATTGTAAAACTAATGTTTAAGATTTTCTCAATTTTATTAAGAATAATTTGTATTTATGTACAAATGTCTACTTAAATCCTTAAAGTGAAGTAAATTTTTAAAACATATTCCAAATTCAAGTCTTACCAATCCATTCGAATGATGTCTCACATTTCAAATATTTTTGCCAACGATTGTCAATATAGACAAGAAACTCCAAACAAACCGACATGATTTTATCTCTAGGCTGTTTTCCCCATGTGACGTGAATACCAACTGTTTCCCTTAAAATGGCTTCCGCGAAGGCATTCCTCCCCTTAGGCAAAGAACCCTCATTACTTTCCAACTTTAAATAACAACCTAATCCACCAACGGCAGAGCCATTTAAATCGTTCAATGCAATTGATTCAGATTCATATCCTGAAAAACTGGGCTCTATAAGAATTTCAGATTTCCCCGCGAAAAGAGGGAATACGAGCTCATTTCACGAAGAAAATTCGCAAGAGCATCCCATTTTAACATCGCCTTGTGTGTTTGTCATATCAAAAATTCTATTGATAAGGGGTAATTAGTACAGTAGTTCTGTCTATAAGTCCTTGAAGTGCATATAATTTTTGCAGCTTGTTTTCTCAAAGTAAAGAATGAGAAAATTGTTGTGCTAACATGCTTTAAATCTCATTTAGTTAACATAAAGTTAATATTAGAGAGTTACAGAATTAGCTTTAATTTCAATTCTGCATTCTAGACAAAGTGTTGTATTTTATTGGTAATAATGTTCAAGATAACTACCATAAGAAAATACCTCATGAAATTTCATGCCTATAGATTTTGCATCACCTTTTAATGTTTGTTACAGTGGCATTGCTAGGGTGAGGCAAGGGGGGACATCTCTCCCCGGGCGCAGCATCCAAGGGGCGCCAAATTCAATTTACGAAATTTTAGAATGAAAGGTTGTCCATTCTTGGCACACGGAAAGGGGAGCAAAGTCTTTAGTTGTCCATGGGCGCCGAAAGACGTAGCTATGGCTTTGTTTTGCTATACATCTTTATGAAATTTCTATTAAATGCGTTATGCTGTTAATTCTAGTAAGGAACCTCGAGTATCCAACTCTATTAACCTGTCCTAGGGTCGATGGCCAATGCCTGGGTGAATAGATTTACCCATATATGAAGTAAATGCGAGCCAAATTCCTTTCGAAAGTCATTGAAGTGCTATGATGGACAAAGAGCTGTCTAACGCTTTATGGTCGGTAATCCATTTATCAAAAGATGTTAAATTGGGAAAATTTAATATTAATCTATATAAAATATAGCTCATTTAGTTGTATAAATGAAATTTAAGAGCATTGACTTCCATGCAGTTTTCCAATAATTGTATCAAAATTTTAATGTATTAAAGTTGCTTGTCACATAACCGATTTTTTTCTGTTCCAAGGTCCTATAACCATAACTAATAAGGCATGAGATGTCCTTCACATAATTTTATACACAAAGTTAATTACTTTTATCACAGTTCTGTTTATTTTCGATAAATGTGTATGCAAGATTTGTTTCATCAACCAGAACAATAGCCTTAATAGCCTTAATAGCCTTAAAAGGCTTTGAAAGGCATATTTACCATCAAAAGCTTTCTATATCAAGATGCAGTTTCCTGCTGCCTGCTTCTGGTGTATAAAATCAATCTGCTCATTTTCAGTTGGGCAATTCCACCCCATTCTCGCTATTCAAAATTTCGTATACGCATGGTTGATTTCGCCCAGATTGCACCAGCAGTTGAGGGGATAAGACTGCTCAGCACTGGTAGTTAGACCAGGGTTGAAGTCTAAACGGGCTGAATGAACTTTCGCGGTTTTCCCTTAGAAAATACTCTATGAAGTCGTCATTCTCTCAGGCAGACAGCCTGGTATGCTTAGCCAGTGCAGTCAAAACTGGCCCTGTAAAAAAAAAAAAAAGTTTTTTCCAGGTTCCGGGTTATTTGATCCCTAATTGACTAAATCTGCGTAGTTGTACGAATTACGTGGCATACTGTTAATGGAAAATAGCTTTCCTTAATCTTCTAGCAAGGTGCTCAGGTTTAAAACAGCTGTTCCTAGGGGGTTAAAATTTACAAGTAACATATTAACCTAACTTCACCAAACTGAATAATTCGTAATCTTATTTTAGACATACGTAAACTTTCAGAAAATGGAGAGATGTCGGTAAGAAAAGTCTAGAATTCTCGTAAAATAGTAAGGGAACTTTGCAAAAAAAGAAATTGTATTATACACTGAAGTGCCACAAAAACTAGATAGGTAAATCTATGCGGACTTGGTAATGCCACTTGCACAATTAATCAAACCAATCAGTTATATACATCAAAGCGTATCTATGGAACTTTAATAGTTTTTCTGTCATAAGGAATGCCTGATTTTGACTTGGGAAGTACGATTTACTTATAAGTTAGATTGGTGTCAGACACGGAGTCAAATGGATGTCTGAGACAGAACATGTCAGAGACGCATGCAATTTGAATTTTTAACGCGGTCATTTCAAGAGTGTAAGTTTAGCAAAACCTCAAACTAACAGCAGTATAGTATAAAAAAAACTGAATATGATCAGTCAGGCATGGAATTATTTCATGCGATAGTCGAACAACAGTATCTCAAGTATGCAACGAACACAGCATTGAGGATTATGTGATATTCTTTTTAGTGATAATTGGTTTTCAGAACATATTCAACCCCAGTAAATTTAAAGATTGCGCGATACAGAGATACATGCCACACCTGATCTCGGAAACTAGTTTTGACTAGAAATAAATATAACCGTCTGAGCAATCTCGTTTCCATCTAAAATTTTGGCCTACATGAACCACATTAGGCCTGATATATTTGAATGAAATGTTTGTTTTGTATTTCAAATTTTGAGAACTCTTTTCCTTCGAGTACGTTATTGTTTGTATTATTTTCGAAGCATTTAATTAACAAATCATTTCGTAATTTTAATAATATATTCAGACTTTATGCTTGCTTCATTAAATAACCATAGTGAATTAAAAACTTTAAAATGAAGACTCGAAACTTGATTTCTGAGCTCCCAAAGAGCTGGACATTAAATTATACTAATAAAATTAAATATTTTAGCTGTGAAAATTTTCAATTTTTAAACTCGTTCACTTTTAGATTTAAAATCATGTCAAGATAAGCATTTTTAACGTACACCTTAGCAAAGAGAAGTACAAGAAACCGTCAATAGATGGCAGCACTTGCGTATAACGAAGCTCCCACGCTCGTTGTGTGTTGACTGAACGGTTACGAAATTTTGGTGTATCATCTATTTTTTGAGCGAAAAGCGAGTTGTATAACGAATGTTTAAATTGCAAAATTGTATCACGACGTCAATGAAATTAGGTCTTAAGCTTACCGTCAAGTCGGTGCTTACTATGCCTATAGAATTCTTTCCACAAAATACTGCAAAATTTCAGTTTTTTGTTTAATGATTTTAAACCGCTTATTCTCTTAACATTGCATGGATTACGGAGTAGCAAGAATTTCTAAAATGTCTAAGTGGTAGTTTAGAAATAATGTACTCAACTCTGTTTATGTAAATGCAAGACAACAGATGGGGTAGAGAAGTGTTTTTAAATTCTCCGTAGTATCTCTTTATATTGATTGTCCAAAGCTATAAACATGCTACAATACTGTTCTGACGTACTCCTAACAGTCCAAATATAATAGAGTGTAACCAAATATGAAAATCCTTTTATGAGCAAATTGAAAGTTGGAAAGAACGACTAGGATTTCTTTAGATTGTGCATTATTGAAAATTATATTATCTTTATATATTGTGTAATTATGAATAGAAGTAGTCTGTCGCTACGCCATTCTCTCTGGTCTAATTATGCAGGATTCGAAATTGTTTAAATATGTTTCAAGATCTCGATTAATTTTGCCTTAAACTTGCAGGACGAAGATGAATTTTTCATCTGAAGAAAACTTTGAAAGTTTGGGTTGTCTAAGGTTTGACTTTCTGAGACCCTGACATTTCAAGACTAATGTGTAATGTACTTTCCGACGTAAAGTTTGTGTTGAGTGTTAGTAGCAGGCCTTTCATGATCCCTTTTCGAAGTCATTAAAAATTTTATAAATCATTAATAATTTAATAAATTTAATAATTTAAAATAATTTTATAAATCATTTAAAATTTTATAAATTTATTTATTATTTTAAAATGCAATTATATTTGAAGTTTTCCTGTGAATTTAAAAGATTTTTAATATTCACTAGTGCCTAATTAAATAACACAACTGAACCACGTTAGTCGACCGAATTCTAATCCAACAGAATCGGATGGCCGAGTAGAAGGGTTTTGAGGTTTATCTCAATTCGTAAGTATGGAACCAGTTTCCCTTAAAATATTCTGCACCTCTCCATTACGCGGATAGCCATGCCATGCTTTAATGTATTCAAGTAAACTTATTTTCAACAAATGTGAAACTGAATTTTTTTTAAACTGTTTTTGAACATTCGAATTATCGGATTCCAAAACTTTTAAAACAGATTAAAATTCCAAATTGTTTTGCCAGGTAAAACCTTCGAATACTAACACATTTTAGAAGTTTTAATTCAAATTTGGAATGTCTAATTTTGTTGATGATCAGTAGAAAGATTATTACAATCTCCCACATTTTGCTTTGGTTTAAAGATTCTGGGAAAATGTAAATGCTGAAATATGTTTTGTCAATTATATTGAGAAAAGGAATCTAGCTTAGTTTATGCATTTCCTAAATTTCATTTATAACTCCTTAATAAATGTATTTAAATGTATTTATAAATTTATTTATTAAACATCTATTTTAAACTTTTTCTTATGAAATTTTTCTTTTGCATTACCTGAGGAATTCGACATTTAAAAAAATGCGAAAGATTCAGAGAATCGTTTTCGAATTTATATTTGGAACAAATTGAGGATGCTTCCCATTTCTTTGCAAAGCTGTTTCTTTGGGGGGGGGAGGAACAGAGAAATGGTATATACAACTAGTTATTCCACTTTAATTTTAAAAGGTCTTTATTGCTAGCTTATAATTTGAAATCTATTTCAGAAACTGATAATAGTTTGAAAAATAATTAGTTTGAGTCTATTAAATTTAAATGTAATTTACATGCAAAAATGAAAAGGGTGTGTTTACTTTGTCTAGTTTGTGGGATTACTCAAGCCAAACCACAGAGCAGAATTATTGGTGGCAATGATGCGATGTATGGTGAATTTCCTTGGCAGGTAAGTATTTATTTCTGATTAGTTCACTACTTATCATAATCTTACGAAATTTGCAGTAAAACTGTATTGAAAAACTTTTATTTGCTAACACATTTCTGCGAAACGTTTCATTTTAGGCTCATATTAAATTAAATCGGCAGCAGTGTGGTGGAGTCTTGCTCAACAACTATTATGTACTTACTGCAGCTCATTGTATTTATCAGTGAGTTTGTTTTGAATTTTTAGCTTTATATTCCATTTTTATTCGGTAGATGGCGCCATTTTTCACATGCGTAATGCTCCTCGCGTATTTTCACAAATTTTAAGGAGTTCTGAACTTTCATATACTTATCCATCTCGCCAGCTTATTTTGAAAGTTTACCATTGATGCATTTTAATACTGAATAAATATGCTGAAATAATTTCTAAGTACTGGGAAATTCGAAATTCCAGCGCTATAACATGCACGCTATTATGGTTAGCATGAAATTTTAAACGGACCTTTTTAAAAGTCCAGAAGGAAAGAAAGTCCTGAATTTATTACTAGATGATTTTATGTACTATTCGTAAATACAGTGAAGCATTTGCACAATATTGGTAGATAAGTTTCTTTCACTACTTTCGTTAATGAAAATATTCCACATCATAAATCTAAAGCAATGTATAAATTTTCTTTACTTCAAAAACTGGAATTTAATCTCGTATTTCAAAGTTTAGAATTGGTAAATTCGCCTTCACTGAGTGGGTGAGTTATGAAAGTACTGATCATTAACATTGAATTCCATTCCTTGTGACTGGCCGTACGGAGACATCGTAATTTATTTTTAAACACAATGTAGCAGACAAATAAGACTGCTGCTACGAGACATTATAGGACATCCGGCTACGTATATGTTGTAGATGAGCAATTGAGATCAACTATGCTTGCAGCTTACGAACTCCGGAGAGTCAATTCTTGTCTGTGTACAATGATCTGTATCAGTGCGAGCACTAATTCATGCGTTATTAAAATAGAACAAAGAAATTTGAATAATGTGAGGCTTACCTATTTTGTATAAGAAATGGTGAAAACTCGAGCATAATAGAGTACCATGGGAAAATATTCCTCCTGGCCTGGCAAAACATTGCAGACAGATGGATGTTCCGTGATGAACCCTTGCAAAATATTCTCACCAACAGTCCAGAAAGGACACATAATTCCCCAGTCTCCATATGCATCTAAGTCCCATTGATTTTTTGCCTTAAAATTTAAAATTTCGGTTGAAAAACTTATAGGAATACAACCTCCAAACTGCTAAGCCAATCCAAATGAAGGCAACTACGTGGTATGTTTTCCAACAATACAAATGAAGCAGCTGCGTCTCCAATAATCGTTTCTTAAGGAGACTAATTTAAATTTGAGAATTTGCGTTTGTCGATATGATAGTTCTTTAGCTAATCTCGCTTATTTTCTACCACACTTTATGTAATGTAAATAGTTTCGCTCAAGGAAAGCTAGTGCAGCACATATTCTACTACATTAAGGGGCCTCCTACACCTTATCTTCGAATATGTAACTGTTGCAAAAATTGGGATATTTTATTTATTTTAAAAGCAATTACTTCCAACATTTTACAGCTGCCTACATAATATAGTGCTTTGGAAACTAGTAACCAGAAAGTTTGTGTTGCCACAAATATTTTTGTAATTTAATCCGCTTTGTGACAAAAGTTTTCGTCATGTCTCCATTTTGCACGCATGATGTTTTAAAAAGGGCTAATGGTACATACCTGACATTTGGTGGAATTCTTTGTATGGGTACTATTTTCTAACTGAACCAAAAAGCTGATGGATATTTTAATATTAAATTTTATGAACGAAAACATTACGGACTTTTTAATAAAATACATTTTATAAACTCAACTCCAAACAAAATAAAAAATTTAACATGAATTTCTTAGAATTTTTGGTTCACAGTAGTTCTCAAATGTTATAAAAGCTATATATTGAATATAGAATTAAATTCGTCAACAGAATGTTTAAATTGTGCCCTCAAGGTGGAAACATGACGAAAAAATTTGTCACAAAACCTATTAAATTATAAATATTTGTGGCAACCCAGACTTTCTGATTAGTATTTCAGAAAGCAGCTATGTTATGTAGTCAGCTGTAAAAAGTTGGAAGTAATTTCTTTTAAAATGTATAAGTTATCCCAATTCTTGCAACTGTCGCATATTCGATGATCGTGTGGGTTTTAAGGTGTAAGGGTCCCCTTAATATGCCAATTAGTTTACAGCAAATGCGTAAACAAATATTCAATGCTTTCTTTCTAATGAAATCTCAACTAGCATAGTTTTCATAGAGCCTATCAAGTTATAGAGGAAGCAAAACTAATGCAGGAAACGGGTGTTTCAGAAGGAATTCCGGTACTTTTCCGTTTCGCCGGCGCAAATCTCGCCAAGCAGACTTTATTGGCGACAACATACAGTATACACATAAAAAATATTAAATGTTAGTTCTAAGAATTCTTTAAAAAAAGAAGGCATAAAACATTTTAAATCGCTTTAAAATTTTAAAAAGCCAAAATAAAGACAATAAATTGTAAAAAGACATTAATTTAAGAATTTACATTGCTTTCAAGGTTCAAATCCTGATGCGCCGGTTCATATCACGTGACCCCAAGCGATCTCATCTCACGTAATACTCTCTACAAAAATCTTAATGCTCTCAGAATTATCTACATTAATTTCAAGTTAAATCTTAATTTGGAACACAAGTTTAAATGCAAGAAATATTTCAATTCGTACAATAGCTTACTCAGAAATTATGTAAAACTGCAGTGCTTACTTCGCTAATGCATTATTAGAATGATGAATTTAACCCTTAATTTACCTTTTTATATTTTCGGCTTCGGGTAAGCGATTGCATCCTAATGACTAACCGAAAATGTCCTTAGACATAAACTGAACTATCGATAAAAATTCTATGTATTCTATAGCCAGTATTGAAAAAACAATCAATCTGATAAGAAAAAGCTGCGACTGTTTTGAAAATGATGCGTAAAAGGTTACCAGCGAGAATATTCCGGTTGGCATCGGTTGTACCATTATTGGCGACTTTATCGCTTGCGCCGGCAAAACGGAAAAGTACCGGAATTCCATTTAATATATCTAGGACTGGGAGATTCTGCGTGAGTTTATTTCTTAGAAGTTTAATCTACTTAGCATAGACGCTGAAAACTGTGCATCGTTCAGTAGGATACGAAGCAAGTAAGACTACGGACAACATAGATTTTAATCCAAGGTTTATAATCTAATGTAGTCCTGCCCTAATATTAGATATTTTAACAGTATGTAGAGTAGTTTACAACCTAATTATATTTTTTAATTCAAGCCAAATAATAATCAAGACCTGAGATTTTCAAGTTTAACCCCTTAACTGCCGCGGGTGTATATATACGCCTTGCTCAGCCGATGCGTTAACTGCCCAGGGCAGATATACTCCTTCCAAACTGATATCATTTGCTTTGCGCTGCTACACCTAAAATTATTCGCAAAGTTAACGCATCGGCTGCGCATCTGGGGCAGTTAACGCATCGGCTGAGCAAGGTATATATATACGCCCGCGGCAGTTAAATGGTTAAAATACCACTTTTATTAGACTAAATGTTAAACCATATACTGCAACTTTTAACTAAACTCTTTCTAACACGCTTTATTTCTGTCAGAGTACGGTTACCAGAGATCACTGTACAGCTTGGCGTGTACGACATCCAGGACCACAGTCGACAGGATTACGCCCCTCAAACTTTCTCTGTCGTGGAGAAGAAAATTCATCCAAAGTTCAAGTACCAAGCAGCGCATCCAGACAGATATGATGTAGCTTTGTTGAAACTAAACAAAGCGGTCAGATACCAAGAAAATGTTGTGCCTATTTGCTTGCCTAGGAAAGACTGGAATTTCCAAGGATGGAAAGGAATCATAACCGGCTGGGGAAAGACTGATGCTGGCTTGAGTAAGTTTTCTTTAGCTTTTTGCCTTATTTTTTAAGGAAACTGAAATGAGTGCCTTCAGTTTGCGAAAATTATATGAAACAGAAGCTCGATCTACTGTCTGCAAAGAACGTTTCCACCCAATGTACGCCAATTCTTGTTCGTAGTGAAATTCAATGATTTATTTCCACATCGTTCGTCAATCACGTTCTAGAAGCTGATTTCTTATTTGGCTCATTTGAAAAATTTAAGTATGTATTTGGTGTTATCTTCGGACTATAAGTCTGGTAACACTTAGCATAGACTATAAGTCTGGTAACACTTAGCATAGACTATAAGTCTGGTAACACTTAGCATAGACTATAAGTCTGGTAACACTTAGCATAGACTATAAGTCTGGTAACACTTAGCATAGACTATAAGTCTGGTAACACTTAGCATTATAGTAATAATGCTTTGCATGAGGCTTCCATAGAATTACCTAATGCCATTCCTTTACAGTAAGTTTTTGTCTTAAGGACTTCATTGTTCAGTATGGGACAACAAAGAATGTTAGATCAAATTGAACAAGACAGTGGACTGAATCTCAAATTTACAAAATCTGTGTTTTCATGTATGCTATATACATAGAAGCTACAAAGATCTTGAAATGATTTTAGGTCTCAAGAAGTCGTATTTTCAGTTTGTGAAAAATTCAATCTAGAAACAAAACAATTTAGTTTTTTTATGGTTAAGTAGTTCTTAATGTAGTGTATTCATGACTGAAAACAAATATTGAAGATATGATATTTGTTTATGATCTAACAAATACTCAGTTTAGGTTTTCCCGCATTGGTCGTTATTTTGTCTTTTTGCCATCTGGCAGTGATAGGTCAAGATTTAGTCATACATTTTAAGTTTTAAAGTCAAAATATGAATTCATTTCCAAAAGCAAAATTAATTTTAAAAAATCTCTATTCTACTGGATTGTAGGAAAGCAGTTTTTAAAATTTTATTTGACATATGGCCTCAAATTTTGCAGTTTATCGAATTTGGTATACTCTCAATTCTTGACAGAAAAAAATAGGCGAATGAAATGTAATAAAACGAATTGGATATGAAAATAATTGTCAAAAGAAATTATTCAAAAATTAGACTAATATAAGATATTGCGTATTAAAATAAATTGTATCGTGTATATAAATATCGCTTATGTTGAATTGTATATTATGATAAAAAAATCTAACTTCAGTTTAAACTGAAGAGTTTGGACTTCAAAATATATGATGTAAAAATACAATAAAGCAAATTCAGAAATTTATCTTGGAAAGAAAACGTTTAATATTCCTAAAGATCTAAAAACAATAATCATGAAATGAGTACAGTTTTGATAAACGTGCAATGTTAGTGGTTTTCAAGAAATAGCTGAGAAATTTTAATTAATATAACCTAAATTATTGATAAATGTATTTGCGCATCAATGGCAAAGCTTGACACAATTTTTCACCAATTTTCATTTTAATTCTATCTAGATAAATTAACTCAGCAATACTAGCTGAACAAATGACTATTCAAATAATACCTAATAAATACTTCAAATGATGCTGAGCATCATTTGAACCAACAGCATATTTTGAAAGAAATTTCCAGAACTAGTGTGAATGAGAAGATTAATACTGCTTTATATAATCGTTATCAATATTTTTAAGTGCTTCTGAGGGGATTAATACGAAATGTAAGCTCCTGTTCTCATTACTTTATTACATTTTTCAATAACGACATTTTCGGACCATATATGCTTTGTCTTTAATTCAGTGCCAGTAATAGACCTGGAGTCCAATTACACATCGTAAGCTAGCAATTTTCCCAGCCTAAGTTTTATATTGTAAATAAGATAAAAATTTGCTGCTGACACCTTGTCGGGTTAACTTCGTGCATTTGGCTTATTTTTCTTCTATTTCAACAAGCAATACGCCACCAAATCTTTGAATGTTTGTTTGAAAAGTCTTCTCAATTTCCTTTAACATAATGAATAATTTGTAACAGAAATGGAATTTTTAGATAGCTCTCGCATGCCTTAGTAAAATTAATAACTTAAAAATAATTTTAAAAATTACTTGGGGAAAATCTTTACTTCTATTCCTTTACTTGACTTTTGATTTTCTGAATTCCCTCCTCCTAGTAAAAAATAATTTTATGACTAGTAAAGGCTACTTAAAATATTAAACTTCTAAAGGCCGAGCATTCTCCTTCGAATTAGTTACTGATAACTATCATTTAATCTTATTACTCAAAACACTTGTATTATCTGCACTACTGAAAGCAGATATTGTCTACGTAGCGTTGATTATTCATAAGTTAGTCACACTTACCGGAAATTTGGCTTAGCACCAATTCAGCTCGCCCTAACTCAGCCTTGATTATTCTACTCCTATATTAGCCTCAGGGAAGGATTTAAGTATTTTATAACCAGCTGAGAGCATCCTAAATCTATAATATCGTATAATTTATAATGTAATTTGTGTTTTTACACCCCTTTTGTAAACATGATAGGCAATGCTATGAACTCATAAGAGTATTATTACAGAAATTGGTCGGTCCATAGGCTTTATTCCAATTTTTGACATTTTTCTATCAAAAGGATGTACCGTCAGGAATTAGGACATTTTAGGGCCTTGGCGTTCACCCCATATTTTTTTCTTAATGGAATTTTAAAAGAATTCCTGTTGTAACCAATTAAGTATGGTGCAATTATCTAAAAAAAGAAGATAATTAAAGAAAATGCTTCTAAAAAAAGAAGATAATTAAAGAAAATGCTTCTAAAAAAAGAAGATAAAGAAAATGCTTCTAAAATTTGGTCCGCAAGATCAAATGCGAAGGATAGGTTAAAATAAATCGCGATATTGTTTTAGTTCAAAAGCTAAGGCGGAGAGTTTCCCTTTTGTTACGTTTCTGAGGGTTGGCGGGAAAACAATGGCTAAGTTAAGAATGATGATTGAGAATATTTCTGGCTCAGTCTGAGTTAGAAATAAAACTCTGTGATAAGTTGGATTTGGAAATCGACCGAAAATTGGTATCCACCTGTACCGAGACATTAAAATTATATCATAATCTATTGTAAATTCAATATCTTTAGGTAACCGCTATGGCACCAGACTCTTGCAAAAAGTGGATGTACCCATCATTACCAACGATCAGTGCGAAACCTGGCATCGTGAGAAAGGAATAGACATCACGATCTCTCCTGAGATGATGTGCGCTGGATACGAAGAAGGGAAGAAAGATGCATGCGTCGTGAGTATTCAGTTTATTCATCTTTGTTGCGTCATTTACATTTTTATTATTTTTCTATGATTTACAAAAACTAGCAGGTATGGTTGTAATCCCATATTTCCATATGCCTGGAATTTAGTGCAAATTTTCTTCGTTAATTCTCATTTTACATTACTTTGATTTCACCTTACTCTTAAGTTTTAGCTAAAGTTCTTGTGTCGTATTTGTTTGTCAGTAATATCAAGTTCGTAGAGTTTTCATGCCCGAGAGTCGTTTTGGCTTCGGCCTTGGACATCATTGGTTAACAATATGAATTTTCCTAGGTTGTCCTATTTTTGAACAACAGTCCATCAGATGAATCTGACGGTCTTCTACCACTTTTTCTCCATCAAACGTTCAATATACGTAGCGTATTCGGAAACTAAGTACCGTTTCATTCTAGCGCCATCGAAGCGCTGTGGTAGGCGTCCCGCGCATGCGCACTAGTCTTTCTTGTTCACTGACTTTTAATGGTCGCCGTTTTGGTTGCTCTATGTTCTATTTTCAGTTTGCTGTGCACATTCAAAATGTTTAAGACAATTAGTTCTCCCGCTGACTGTGAGATTCGTGCCGTGATTAAATTTTTGAACGCGAGGAATGTTAAACCGGCCGAAATTTATCGTCAAGTGACAGAAGTTTACGGTGATACGCGATAAGTGATGGAATGGTGAGAAAGTTGGGTAAGAATGTTTAAAATGCAAGTCGAACAAATGTCCACGCCGAGGCTCGGAGTTTTTCGGCCTTCTGTTGTCACCGATGATTTGGTAAGGAAAAGTTGAAATGAAGCAATTCATGAGAACAGACGCTTCACAATGACAACTCTTTCAGAGGCATTTCCACAAATGTCACGTACTGTTTTGTTCGAAATTGTGTCTGACCGCTTGAATTATAGCAAACTGTGTTCCCGATGGGTTCCAAAAATGCTCACTGATGTTCACAAAACAAAGCGACTTGGTAGTGCCCTGACATTTCTGACGCGGTACAGTGATGAGGGAGAAAACCTTTTAAACCAAATTGCGACAGGTGATGAAACTTGGGTGTATCATTTCACACCAGAATCAAAACAACAATCGATGGAGTAGAGACACACTCATTCTCCGAAAAAACAAAAGTTCAAAATGACAATGTCATCACAAAAAATCATGTGCTCTGTCTCTGGAATAGGAAAGGCGTTTTGCTACTGAATTCTTCCCAGAGGTGAAACCATTAATACGGTACGATATTGTGAGACTTTAACAAAACTAAAGCGTGCCATTAAAATCAAACGAAGAGGAATGCTCAGTAAAGGAATTGTGTTGTTCCATGACAATGCTCGGCCCCATACTGCTGGTGTCGCTCAATCGTTAATTCGACAGTTTCATTGGGAGCAGGTTCGATCACCCGCCGTACAGCCCGGACTTGGCGCCGTCCGACTATCATTTGTTCCTGCATATGAAGCGCGAGCTTGGTGGCAAGCGCTTTGGATCTGACGATGACCGAAAAATGCTGTGGAGTCGGGTTTCGGAACTGGCGGAAGTTTCTTTGACGATGGTATACAAAAAACGGGTCACCCGCTATGACAAGTGTTTGATCATTGGCGGAAACTATGTTGAAAAATAGTTTAAGACATGAAAATTGGATTCGAAAAAATTGTTTTACTTTTTTTTTTCAAAACGGTACTTAGTTTCCGAATACGCCTCGTATATATGCTTCTTAATACGCTTATCTTCATTCTACTCTCTGATATTAGTAGCATATTTTGCTTGTTGAAGTCCTCCAGTATAAACAAAGTTCACAAAGATTGGATTTCAAAACATGAATTCATGCGTTATATGCTTAATTACTGTACTTAAAATTAAACTTTTAATTATCTTTTATGCAATGTGACACGAAAATTGCAGGATTGTTTATGTGAATACATATTAGACATCACTAAAGTATTTCCATTTAACGCACACTAAATATTGGATGTTAGCATTGCCACGATCAGAGTTAATATGCAATTTTTAATCAGATGTTACTCTGGAATAACGGCGCAGAGAAATCGGTTTCCAACACAGTGGCTCCAGTACTGAATTAAAGTAAGATGGACAAAGGAGAGAATTAATGCTGCGGGTATTCACATTTACAAGATTAACGATTGTGACTCTTAATTCATAGTTTGCCCTAATTGTAACTGTTGCCTATTTTAACAACCGTTCTTCAAATGTAGGAAGTAGGTTCTATTCATATGCATTTGACACCATGTTCCATTATCTAATAAGGAGTGTGAAATTTCCTTCTTAAAGTTTATTTGGCGGCGTTTATGATATGAAGACTTAAGTATAATTAAAATGCTCAGCTTAAGTTTGATTAATGATTTTTGTCTGCTTAAAAATGTGATCTCTTGCGATTTTGAATTCAGATATTTACAGCCAGTATCCAAAATGATTTAGAAAACAGACAATTCTAAATTTCATTGATCATCTGAAATGATTTTTCATTCAGTTATAATTCAAGATTCATTTTGAAGGCTTAAAAGCTCTTTAAATTTTCGAGTTGAAGAATTAGCTGTATTTCTTGGACTTAATTAACAGTATCTTTCCACTATATACTCTTATGAAAATAATCTATAATTTTAAAATTCGTGGACCATAATTTTCAGAATCAAGCTTTATTTCAACAACAGCGATTACGTTATAAATCTAGGGAAAAAACTATTTTCTTAATTTAAATATTTTACTCATTCGAGATCTGTCCTTTCTATTCCTGGATCTAGCCTTATGTCATTCGAGGTATTAGTAATAGTTGCAGTTTATCATTTTGAATTAACTGCAGTTTATTATTGCCAGTTTTCAACTGGCAAACTATTTATCAATACGTGCTTAAACGAATTTCTTTCAGGGAGATTCCGGAGGCCCATTAATAGTAATGGTCCAAGGCAGATGGACTGTTGTTGGCCTCGTGTCAGCTGGTTTCGGATGTGCCCAAAGTCGACAGCCTGGCATCTACCACAGAGTGCCTCACACAGTTGAGTGGTTGAAAGAGAATATAACATCATAACACAGAGCCTTTTTTTAACTACAAACATGACTAGCATGTTTTTAATACTCACGATAAATCATTCCAACTGTGATCTCTAAGAACTGCGATTTGAACATGATACGCAACATTTTAGATTCTTTTTTACTGTGTGTGTTTTTAATGTTGTACAAAGTACTGTATAATAGCCATGTAGCAAATCTGCCATTTTATACCCCGACTCGGAGATTTTTGTCTTGAACTCTACATGAGATGAATCTCGAAGAATGTTTTACTGTCAAAGTGTATATATGTACAGAAGCATTGCATTTTATCGCCATACGTGTTTCTCTTTAATTTTATTTGTTGTTGAAGAATGTTGAAATGTGTACAGAACACAAATGTTGAACATTTGTAAAGACTATTTTAGTAAATAAAAGAATTTTAATATTTGATTTTTCCAATTATTTTCTTTAAGAGCACAATCATTGATCAATACTTTTGGTTAAACAGAAGAACTATTAAACTACGCGTTTATACATATCTTATTTTTTACAATTAAGTAGTTAAATCTGGGTTTAAATAACATGTCTAATAATGATTATTGGAGAAGTCAAACAAGAATCATGGTCCACCAGCGTCCGAGCGGTAAAGACGCTGAACACTGGTAGTTCGGTCCGAGGTTCGAATCTCGCGAACGGGCTGGCTGCATGAGCGTTTTCCCATGTGTAACTTGTATACTAGCCAATTTCCCTTAGAAAGTTCTCCACGAAGGCATTCCTACCTTTAGGCAGATAGCACTCGTGTGCTTTGCCATAATTGAATAACCCCCTAATCCCCAAACAAGAATCAGCGTAATATTGGTAAATTTTAAGGACTAATTTCGATGGTTTAAATGCAGAACCATCGAAACTAGTCCTGTAAAATTTGCCAATGTTACTGATTCTTGTTTGAATTCTCTGATCAGAGCTATATCTGATTAAAAATAACGGCTGATATCGTTACAACGTAATAGTTCAAAAGTTGTTTACAACTACGTAAATAATTTACCTTTAAACTACGTAAATAATTTATCTAATAATTTATCTTTAATTTTCTTTTTCATACATTTTTTAGATAGCCGCCCAGACGGTATATTAGGAAAGACAACTGCAATTACCAAAGGGTCTTGGTACGAATCGCGTAGAAGGCATGGTTGTAACTGCTCTTCCCTTTATTGGAGACAAAGGTGTCTCACCTATTAGGTGCCTTCATAATGAAATGACTACCGCTTCTGGTCTTGGAAAAAAACATTTTTTTAAGATTCGCTTTGTGAGTTTAAGTATTTAAGATATATGTAGTCTAATGTATACTATTATCGCTTCTTCAAAGTTGTTTGTCAAGTTACTAAAATAATCTTTTCCGAAGTCGTCCGAGGACCATGGACCCTGATGCAATGGTAGAGAAAATTAAAGGTTCACGAAAACCCATTAAGTCAAATCAGCATAATGAGATAAACTATCAAAAGTAAATAAAAATATACATTACATATCAGAGGACGAATGTGTGTAACTTATAATGCAAATGAACTAAGCGCAGGTGCTATTGACTTGAATTTTATGGTTTAAGCTAGCTGATTTATGAGCTAGTTTCCTTCAAAGAGTTTACTATGAAGCCATCCTTCCCCTTTATCCCCCGCGTACTTTACCATAATAAAATGAACCAAATCGATCATTTTCCTAATTTTCTATGCGAGTTAACAGTTTAAAATTCTATGAATTACAATTAGGTCTATTAAATCCCGTAAATCGGAGTAACTTCTGCTAATGTTCTACTCATTAAATGATTATAATTCTTTGCTTTTGTGTAATCATTAATTCAAGATTCTGAGGTAATGGAAGTAAAAATATTTATGCGTTCTTTCATTCGCAGATCGTTTTGCACATAACGGTAAACATGCATCTGGAGGTTTTAAAATTTGACAAATCATACAATGATATCTAGAAGCTATATTTTTCACCATGATACTTTATATAACGAGTGTTTAGAACTGCGAAGTTTCGTCCAGTTTTTATTCTGACCACGATGTGTTCCCTTTGCTTTCTTTTCTGCTGCAATACTTTAGGACGTATATTTCGCCTCGTGTTACTTTTCCCGAGACTTCTTCAGCTAATATCCATCGCACCATTAGCAGATGCGTAATTTCAAAATTAGATCTATGAAATTTTATTACAGCCTTTAACGATAACTTCGCAGTTCTGTGGGACAGAAGACTGATCAAACTGCATTCTTGTTGCACATTCGGTCTTTATTCGAACTAGTCGTGTTTCATGTCCCTTCATGTAGTAAATAAGACAAAAGTAACTTGGCACAAATGTCATAATTTCAGATTCTTCTGATATATCAAATAGTCAAAATTATACTGTTATTAAGAATCTATAGCTCATTTCCATTAACATGGAGAGAGGTTTTAGGTTTGAAAGTAACGTTTTAGGTCAGAATTATTTCATTTTAAATTCTCGAATTTTCTGGGAATGGTTCTCAAATTATATACTTTCGAAATATGAACAATACGAACTCGAGAGTTTTGTATAAATTTAGAGGGTTCTTGGGACAGGTTTTCGAGTACAGTCGGTTTTTAATTCGGAACGACTACAGGGTTTAATTTTACAAATATTGATTTTAAGTGCTTTCATTTACAATATTTCTAAAAGTGATGTATAGAATTTATAGGGAAATTTCAGCACATGTTCAAAATAAAAGTATGTAATCTAATATCCAGTAACTGAAATTAACATAAAGACATAAGACTCAATATTTCGTGAAAAGCATCCAGCATCCAGCATTCCGCATCCGCTTACTATGATTTAGCAGTTTGTGTACTGTAAGAGCTATCTATCAACGTTAACTGCTGAGTACCCGATTTTTCTCTAGGCTGTATGCAGTTTTTTAATTCTTGGAACGTTAACTTTCGCCTTTTAATTATAACACATTGAATACAGACTGTTTATTATTGCGTTACAAATTAAATGAACTATGCTAAAAATTACTACTTTATTTTTTAAATGTCATGTTCTTCGCACTTGCGCCATATAAAATTCAATTCAACAGCAGTATCAAAAAAATATCTAAAAATAACATCTTTAGAATACTTGATAGAAATTCTCACGTGTTGGAGATAAAAATGTTTTTTTTTTCGGTACAGTGTTGCCATTATTCGCTTTGAAATCGTTGAGTTTGTTAACCAAAAATCCGTAAAATATTTACAAAATATTTACAAAATATATAGAAAATAGAGAAAACAAATTTGAAATTCAAAATTTGGGCGTCCGGGTGCCATTGTTCGGGTGGAGGGGTATGTAATTCAAAATTTGTTGCTCTAATTACTGTTTCTTCACTGTGCGATAAATATACACACATTTATGCATATTATCATTATTCATTGAATTTTAATATAATACAGGATTATAATATTAGCTGGCAAAAATTTAAAAAGTGATACGCTGTTTATAATGAATCGACGCAAAATGCCGTTTCGAGACGAATAGCACTTTTGGGCTAAAAAACATTCAACGATAAAAAAAATTTTACGGTTTAGTTTAGTTTGAAAGAGTAAGAATTCCTAAACGATTATTGCGAATAAAAATAAAAAAATCTGAAAGCTTTCAGGTTTTATATTACGCCCAAATGGGGGTGTTTACTTAACGTTTAGTGTGTTACCTTTATTTATTAAATATGTTCTTCGCACTTAAGCCACATAAAATTCAATTCAATATAAAAAATATTTAATAACAGCATATCTTTAGAATTCCGATAGACAGTCTCGCGGACTGGAGCTAATTTTTTTCCCCGTACAGTGTTGCCATTTCCTGTTTTAAAATAATTGAGTTTGTTAATCAAAAAGTCATTAAAGTAGTATAAAATGGATAATAAAATTCCAAATTCGGGCTTTCAGATGCCCATATTTGAGTAGAGGACCACGTTATTCAAAATTTGATGTCTCTATGTACCGTTGTTTTTTCACAATGTGAGAAACATTTATACATTCATTCAGATTCATTATTTTTTAAATGTAATGCAAAGCTCTAACATTCGGTGGCAACAATTTGAAAAGTGAAACAGTTTTGTTGTGGACGAAGCAAAATGCCGAAACGTAATTAATACCCCTTCTAAGCAAATTACCCCTTTAGGCTAGAAAAAAAAATATTCTTATAAAAAAGGAAACGCCTGTATACATCAAAATATTAGATATCTATCAGCATGGAACAAGAATGTTCCTGTTAAATTATCAATAACATCTTCAACAAAAAAAGAGTGCGGATAAATTAAAAAAAAATTAACATGTAATTTGTAAGAAGATACCCAGATTATGCGTGGCTCAGCGTTATCATTCCTGGTCTTCTCTTTTCATGCTATTAATTATTCATTAACTCCAATCTCTGTGATTTAATTAGCTTGCTTGATTAAGATCCAAGAGCGAGTCCAAGGTCGTTTCGAATCACTGTTGATTTATACGCACGGTACGTGTCAGGGTTAATTTTCAGAGTGAAAAATGCGAGTTCGTTTAGGTTCATCACCCAAGCATGAATAAAAGAATGAGTTGATACGGCCGGTGCAGTTTTAGAAAATGTTTCATATACTGGTACAGATCCAAAAAAACGAGAGATCCTCGTGAAAATTTTATTTGAATGGCAAATTTTATTTAAATGCCAAAAATAAATTTGCATGGGAATAATCTCTTTTAATTCATACCAGAAAATTAATCGATAGGTTGAAAAAGATTTTATAAATTCAGTAACATAGCACTCAGAGCAGAGGTTCTCAACGTTTTGACTAGCACGTACCATCTAAACAAAAATTGAAAAACTTTAGTATCACCACTACATTTTACAATGATTGTTTCTCAAATTCTGTACAGAAGTATGTAAAATATATATATATTTCCCTTTATACAACTTGTTGGCTATTTGTATTAAATCTGCACACATAAAATGTTAGATTAAAAATTGGTTACCATTTTAATTATCAAAACTTAAGTTATTATACTTTAAAAATTGAGTGTGAAATTTGGGTCTGTTTAAGATATCAGTTTCTTTATGTGTCGTCTTACTTCACTTAGCTAATTAAAATTAGAATTAGAATTTTAATTATGCGCTGCTTTTATTTTTCAATTAAAACATGGAAGAAAATCATTATTCACACAAATAAGTTGTGCAAAAAAGCAATAAAAATTTGAGATGCCTTTAAACCCTTTTTTTTCGATTCGAACGAAATTTCTATCAATTGTTCTTTTTCTTCACGAAATGCTTGAACTTAATAGTTAAAAATACCTCGTTCCTTTGAGTACCACCTAATTTTCTCTTGCGTACTACTGGTGGACACAAATAGGATGTGTGAAAATGTTTATATTTTGACTACATCATATTTAAACATTCATGGTATGATTATATGAGTTTATGATGGCAAAGCACACT